AGAAATAATAAAGATCAGAGTGAAAATAGAGACTAAAAATAAACCCCAGAAAAGATCAGTGAAACTGAGAGCTGGTTCTTAAGAGATAACCTTTGGCCAGATTTATCAAGAAAAGGAGAGGATCCAGATAAAATCAGAAATGAAGTAGAAGTAATAACTGACACCACAAAAATACGAGTTATAAGAGAATAGTATTAAAATTTTTATGCCAACAAATTGAACAACCTACAAGAAATGGTTACATTCCTAGAAACATAAATCTTCCAAATTGAATCAGTAAGAAAGAAAATCTGAACAGACCAGTTACTAGTAACAAAATTGAATTGGTAATCAAAAAACTCCCTTTAGGGATCCCTGGGTGGCGCAGCGGTTTGGCGCCTGCCTTTGGCCCGGGGCGCGATCCTGGAGACCCGGGATCGAATCCCATGTCGGGCTCCCGGTGCATGGAGCCTGCTTCTCCCTCTGCCTGTGTCTCTGCCTCTCTCTCTCTCTCACTGTGTGCCTATCATAAATAAATAAAAATTAAAAAAAAAAAAAACTTTAAAAAAAAAAAAAAAAAACTCCCTTTAAACAAAAGTGCAGGACCAGGTGAATTGATGGAATCCAGAGATGCATTCTATCACTCATTTAAAGAAGAGTTAATGACTATTTTTCTCAAACTATTCGAAAAAAAAATAGAATAAAAGAAAGGTTTCAAATACATTTTTATGAGTCCAGCATTATCCTTATACCATTATCCTTATACCAAAACCAGACAAAGGCATTACAAAAAAAGAAAACTGTAGACCAGTATTCCTGATGAACTGTAAACTGTAGGCCAGTTTTCCTAGATGAAAAAATTCTCAACAAGATATTAGCAAACTGAACTTAACAATATGTTAAAAGGATCATTCAGGGACAGCTGCGGGGCTCAGCGGTTGAGCGTCCGCCCTCGGCCCAGGGTGTGATCCCAGGGTCCTGGGATCGAGTCCTGCATCGAGCCTGCAGGGAGCCTGATGCCTGTGTCTCTGCCTCTCTCTCTCTCTCTCTCTCTCTCTCTCTCTCTCTCTCTCCGTGTGTGTGTGTGTGTGTCTCATGAATAAATAAATAAAATCTTTAAAAAAAAGTATCATTCAGCACAGTCAAATGGGATTTATTTCAGGGATGCAAAGATGGTTCAATATCCACAAATCAGTCAACACACAATGTATCACATTAACAAAACAAAAATCATATGATCTTCTCTCTGGATGCAGAAAAAAACTTGACAACATTCAACATCTCTTCATGATAAAAACTCAACAAAGTGAGTCTTTAGGGAACATCACCATAATAAAGTCCATATGTGACAAACCCACTGCTAGCGTCATACAAAGTGGTGAAAAACAGAGCTTTTCTCCTAACATCAAGACAAGGATGTCTGGTTTTGCAACTTTTATTCAACAAAGTACTAGAAGTCCTAGCCACAACAATTAGGCAACAGAAAGAAATTTAGGCATACACTTTGGTTAGGAAGTAGTAAAACTGTCACTATTTGCAGACCACGTGTTCTACATAGAAAAACCTAAAGATTCCACCAAAAACTTTCTGACCTAGTAAGTAAATTCAGTAAAGTTGCAGGACACAAAATGAATGTACAAAATTCTGTTGCATGTCTGTTGCATACAGTAATAATGAAATAGAAAAAAAGAGAAATCAAGAAAAAAGTTCTATTTACAATTGCATCCAAAAGAATAAAATGTCTAGGAATAAATGGTTTTAATGAAGGGGTTGAAAGACCTACACTCTGAAAACTATAAAACACTAATGAAAGAAATTGAAGAAGATATAAACAAATGGAATGATATGCCGTGCTCGTGGATTGGAAGAATTAATACTGCTTTAAGGTCTACAGGTTCAATTTTCCCTATTAAAATACCAATAGCATTTTTTTACACAACTATAATAAATAGTATTAAAATTTATACAGAACCACAAAAGACCCTGAATAGCCAAAGCAATCTTGAGAAAGAGGTGCCGTGTTGAAGGTATCACAACCCCAGATTTCCAGATCTGCTACAAAGGTATAATAATCAGAATAGTATGATAGTGGCACAAAAATAGATGGATCGATGAAACAAAATAGCCCAGAAATAAACACACAGTTATATGGCCAGTTAATCTATGACAAAGGGAAAAATACAATGAGAAAAAGTCTTTTCAATAAATGGCATTAGGAAAACTGAACAGTCACTTGTAAAAGGATGAAACTGGACCACTTTCTTACACCATACACAAAAATAAACTGAAAATGGACTAAAAGACCTAACTGTGAGACCTGAAACCATCAAACTTATAGAAGAAAACCTAGGCAGTAATCTCTTCAGTATCAGCCATAGAAATGTTTTTCTAAACAGGTCTCCTCAAGCAAGGGAAATAAAAGCAAAAATAAACAATTGAGACTACACCAAAATAAGTTTTTGTACAGTGAAGGAAACCATCAACAAAACAAAAAGGCAACCTATTGAGTAGAAGATATTTGCAAATGATCTATCTGATACTCATATCCAAAATGTATAAAGAACTTACACAACTCAACACCAAAAAAACCTCCAAATAATCTAATTTAAAACTGAGCAGACGGGATCCCTGGGTGGCGCAGCGGTTTGGCGCCTGCCTTTGGCCCAGGGCGCGATCCTGGAGACCCGGGATCGAATCCCACGTCGGGCTCCCAGTGCATGGAGCCTGCTTCTCCCTCTGCCTGTGTCTCTGCCTCTCTCTCTCTCTCTCTCTCTCTCTCTCTCTCTCTCTCTGTGACTGTCATAAATAAATAAAAAAATTAAAAAAAAATAAAACTGAGCAGAGGACCTGAATTAGACACTTTCCCAAAGAAGACATACAAATGGCCAACAGATACATGAACAGATGCTCAGCATCATCACAATCAGAACCACGATGAGGTATCACCTTGTATCTGTCAGAATGGGTAAAATCCAAAAGGCAAGAGATAACAAGTGACAGCACGGATGGGAATTAGAAGGAACCCTCATGCGGTGTTGGGGGGTTGTGATTTGGTGCAGCCGCTGTGGGAAGCAGTATGGAGGTACCTCAAAAAAATAAAAATAGGAATGTCATATGATCCAGTAGTTCTCTCCTGGGTGCTTACACAAAGAGAACAGGAACACTATTTGACAAAGACGTGTGCATCCCCATAGTCACCGCAGTAGCCGAGTTCTGGAAAGAACCCAAGTGCCGCCCGCCACAGATGAACGGTGAGGAGGATGCTCCCCGTAACACGAAGGGTCTCCACTGGCAGCAGCAGGGGTGGACCCAGGGGTATTATGGTAAATGAAATAAGACAGCGTGGGGGGTGGAGCCGCCCCCGAGGGCTCCCGAGGGGCACGGTGACCCAGCTCCTCGCTCGGAGGAGTCCGCCCCGGAGAAGGGGGCAGCGGCCCGGCCGGCGACTGGCCAAGGCCAGTGTCCGCAGCAGGGACAGCCACGACCCGAGGGACGAGGTGGGGGGGGCCACCCAGGCCCCCACCTGCCTGTGTCTGCACCGCTGCCGGCGACCCAGGCTGTCTTCTGTCCCCATTTTCTCTGCTCCCCGTTGCTGGGCTCGGGGCCACACCCCGCTAAGTGCGCTTGCTCTCCTAGTGACCTTCTGTCCCTTCGCTCCACTTCATGAGAGATCTCGCCAGCTCCGTCCCAGGCTCCTGGTCTGTCACCTTGCCGGCCCTGGGTTCTCAGGGCTCGGGTGTCCTCTTAGTGTCGTGGCCACGTTTCTTCTGCATCTAAGGAAATTCACCACTCCGATCGTTCTGCTTTACTTTGTTTTCTTCTTTTCCCGTCACAGACTCTCCTTCCACATCTCTCTCTGTGTTTTTGTTTTTTTTTTAAGATTTTATTTATTCATGAGAGACACACGGGGGGGCGGGGCAGAGAGAGAAGCAGGCTCCATGCAGGGAGCCTGACATGGGACTTGATCCCGGGACTCAAGGATCACGCCCTGGGCCGAAGGCAGGCGCTATACCACTGAGCCACCCAGGGGTCCCCCCTCTGTGTGTTTTAGTCTCTGACTTTGTTCTGTGAACAGTCAGGCCGCTGGAAGCCTGGGCCCCCCGGGACCTTGAGCCATGGGGTCTGTGGGAGGTGCTGATGCTGGAAACCGTGGCTCGCGCTTCTGGCTGTGGAAGCGTCTTCCTGCCCTTGGGGCCCCGGGAGAGTGACATGGTTAGGAAACTCCAGGAAGCCCTGAGCCACCGTAACAGGTGAGGGAGGCAGTAGCCCGGGCCCTGGGGGGATCCTCGGGCTGTGACCTGCTGGACCTCGGGTGTCAGTGCCGTTAACATGTGTAGAAGAACGGGTGTAGATGGGCTTCACCTTGGGGTATGACGTCATGGAGCCAGTGCTGGCCGTGGCTCTGCTCCTGCCCCGCGGTCTGTGGGACGGCACCCCCGAGGGTTGCGTCAGTCCCCCCGGGTCAGGGAGGGGTGCACATGCAGCATCCTGCACCGTGCAGGCCCGCAGGGAGCACGTGCTGCCGCGCTGGGCCCCGCACACCACTCGTGGGAAGGGGCGATCTTGGCAAGAGCACGCAGCGGGCCTGGAGAGGCCAGGAGCATGGTGCCCTGGGTCCTGGGGGCGGGAATGACCCCAGAATGTGGAGGGCGCCAGCACTCGGGGCCACGTGAGTGAGTGCGCGGGGGGCACGCGGTCGGTCGGTAGCATCAGGACAGGGCTTCATGGCTGCACCTGTGACCTTTGGCTTTAACGGTCAGCAGCGACCCACCATCCTCCATTCAGTTCAGGGTGTGCCCTCAGCTCATTGTAGAATCAGGCGAGGGACACCCATGGGACACACAGTCTCCTCTCCCACAAATGGGCCGTACACACGCACAGGCACGCACACCCCAGCCGCTCCAGCCAGGCCTGCCCTCCTGGGGACGGGGGACTGGTCCCTCCCCACCCCCACCCCCCCCGCCGTGGGCTGGCGTGCCGAGGCGCTTGGCGGGGACACTCACACGACACTTGTGTTGCAGGTGGTCCAACTGACGCCCGCCTGCGGGAGGAGGACGGACGCTCGGGCCGGAGAGAGACCCTTCCGAAGCGTGGACGCTGAGCATCGAGCCAGTGACCTTGCTTACCTACAGCCAAGACTCCGAATGAGAGAGCGCCGTACCTTACACTAACGGGCGCTCGGCACGGGCGTGGTGGGTCTGCACGGGCCTCCGCGGGGCCGTGGGCACAGCAGCGGGGCAGGGACGGCCCCGGAAAGCAGGCCGCCAGGCGGAGCCCAGGGCAAGCAAGACGGCTCCTGCCCTGCCCTGACGCACGGCTGTGCAGACCATCCCACCTTCTGACCGTCAGCCAACGTGGACACCGCAGAGAGCGAGAAACGATGGCCCAGTGTCAGCCGGGCCGCGGCAGCTCCCGGGGGCCGCAGCCTGGCGTGGGCTTGCCCGCCTGCCCTCAGACCCCGTGTCTTCAAGCCGCTGCCCTTGTGTCCCTTGCGCGAGTTTTAGCAAGTTATTTTCTGGGCGGTCCAGGCCCCTTAGGAAAGTTCTCAGGGCTATCGGGGCGCAGCATAGGGGCCTGTTCCTCATTCAGGTGGCTCGGAAGTGCCGCCTGGGGAACGGGCACGACGGGTGGCGTACTGTTTGTGCCAGGGACGGAGCGAGATCTGGAGCAAGCGGCGCGGGCCCGGTGGCTCGTGCAGGACTGGGACGCGCGGCCCCGTCTCCTGTGCTCGCTTCTGCGCACAATGGAGGTGGCCACCGTGGGGACAGTGGCCTCGGCTCTGCTCTCCTTTTGTGTTGATGCTGACCCTTGACTCGCGCTTATGGTCTCTGCCACGTATTCGTGGCTCGTCTGCTGCGGCCGCGACTGTGGAGACCCGCTCCTTTGTCCTACCCTCCGCTTGCACCTCCGCCAGCGTCCTGCCCCGGGAGAGGCCTCCGGCGGCCCGCGAAGACCAGCCCCCGCTCCCTGGGCCCGGCACCAGGGTCTCCACGTAGGGGCCTCGCTGAGTCCCCCGGGAACCCGAGTCGCCGCCGCTGCTCCTGCACGGCTCCGTAGCTGCCCGCACGTGCGTCAGGCTCCTCAGTGCAGCTTTCATCCCCCGATGTCCTGTAAATAAAATGGAAGTAGATGATGAAGCAGGTAGTGGTGTTTCCACCGTCCCCAGCAAAATTAACCTTCAATCCCCAAGTTCCCGCAAAATGGCTTGAGACACACGCTCCCTTGTCTCAGTCCCTATAGCTTTAAAATATGGGAAAAGCAAATAATTCTAGTACATTAAGCCGCCGATCTGTTTATTGGACCGAGTGCTTCAAGCCACAGCCCTCTGCGTACCCACATCGGGAAAGCCCGGCGCTTGTTGAGGGGACGTTAGGAGAGTCAGCCGCGGAAATAAGCTCCACCTGCCCTCGTGGAGCAGGTGACGAGCCCCAGCGCACTGCACCCCGATCCCGGGAACACACCTCCCCCTCCCGGGAACACCCCCTTATCCCTGGAACACCCCTGATCCCTGGAACACCTGCCATCCTGGGAACACCCCGATCCTGGGAGCACCCCGTCCCAGGAACACTCCCGGTCTTGGGGACACCCCCAGATCCCGGGAACACCCCCCCCCAGGAACACCCTCGGTCCCAGGACCACCTGCCATCCCAGGAACACCCCCAGATCCCTTGCCGAGGGCAGGGAGGGGTGGCCGCGTGTCCTGCACCCTGGAGTGTGGCGGGAGAGGTCACCCCGCGGTGCTCAGCTAACACCCCCAGCTAATTCCTGGGGCCTCAGAAATTGGGCGCTGGAACGCTCACTGGCCACTGGGCCCCTTGTCCATCAGGACTAGCTGCGGGGGTGGCGGGGGAGGCCGGGGGCTCTGTGTGGCCCGAGGCCCCCAGCAGCCTGGAGGCCGCGGGGGAGCCCTAGCACCCCGGGCTCTTGCGCGGCCTTCCCGCGGGCAGCACCCATGCGGGTGGCCGGCGATCGCCCAGGGGGAGACTCCTGAGAGGGCCCGGGGGATCATGTGCGGGGCCCGCGGGGGCCGAGGGAGAGGCGGCCTCCTGGGGCGCTGGGATCTGGGGCGGCACAGACCAGGAGCGGGCGTGGGCCCCCCCCAGAGGCCCTAAGCGTCGCAGGAAGGGTCATGTGGCCCAGGGCGCAGCGCAACCAGGGGCACCCGGGGACCGTCCCTCGTGGCCACCGGACCCGGGCCCACCCGCACTTGGCCTCCCGCGAAGACGCCCGCGGCCGGGAGGGACGTGCCCAGTGGCTGCCAACCTGCGCCCCAGGAGGGCCCGGTGGCATCTGGCCAGCAGGGCGGGCGCGGACCATCCCTCCCGGCGGCCACGTCCCGCCCGATGCCGATACGCACGAATCTGTGCCCGTGTTGTGTGGTCTGACCCCCCTCAAGCTTAGCCTTTCCAACGCCGGGGCCCCCAGCAGGCGGGCCATCTTCCCGGGGCTCCTGGGGCCCCTTAGTCGTGGCTCCGCTCAGTCGTGCTGATTGAGCAACGACGACTGCGCGCCGTGTGGGGGCCGCGTGGGGCAGCCCCTGGCTCCTCACAGCCACGGCGACCGGCTCGGGCACCTGCGGTCAGGGCTGCGGCGTTTGCTAGGAAACCAAAGAAAAAATGCGTGGTTGCTCTGGCTCAAAGAAAGGCCCCCCACGTGACCTTCTGGTCTTCAGCACCAAGGACGGAATTTGGCCATTGTTTCCTGAGCGCCTACTGTATGCGCCTGACTCACCCCAGACCTATAATAGTCACCGAAAATTCCAAAGCCCAAAAGAGAGAAGAAAGATTATGAGATAACGGTGTCCTGAGCCGCGGGAAGACGGTTGCCAGCCAGGTGCCGCCCCGAGACCTGGGAGCCGAAGCCCCACGGCGCCTCCACAGACCCCGGCACAGCAGCCTTCTGTCCGTCCGCACGGTCACCCAGACGACTTGGACGGTGGGGGGGCGCTCAGGGTGCCCTGTCCCAGCAGCCTCTGTGACCGCCCAGTTCCGGGCCTCACGCCCGGGTCCTGCTTCCCTGGAGGGCTCCCAGGTGGTGGTGGCGCAGCTTGGGGGGGGGTGTCTGGGACACTCAGCTCTTAAGTGACAGAAGGGCTCCTCAGAGGCCATTGCCCCAGGCCCACCCTGCCTGGCCCTCAAGACCGAGAGCAGTGGAGACGAGCAGAAATACAAACGTCCCCCACACACACCTTGGAACCCGGAGCTCTTCCTGTAGGGTCTCCGAAGGCCCGTCAGCCCGGGACACAGTTGACTCGCTTGGCACGCGTAGGGCCAGGGAGTTCCTGCCTTTGATTCTCAAAGTGCACGTGGAGAGAAGCGGTGTTCTGTGCCCTCCGTCCCCACCGCGGTGGTCCCCGAGTGCCGTCCACACTGTCACCCTGCCCGGGGGTGCAGGAGGTGGGCTTCCTGGGTCCTGCAGACCACAGAGGGCGGGAGACCCCCGGAGAGCCCCTGCCTGTTGTCCTGCCCTCGTGGTGTCGCGGCGAGGCCCCAGGGTCACGGGGCGTCCCAGCCCGCTCACCACCACCCACCGAATGCCACAGCCGCTGCTTTCACCCAGACGATTTCCTGGGGCACCCGCTTCCTCGAAGACCCCTGCAGACCCGCGGAGAGGCGAGGCCTGTTCCCTGGACTATTCCTCTGGTTCTGGCTTAACCAGGAGGGATGCAGACGTGGACGTTATAACGTAAGTAGCCTCAGGGACAACACCCGGAGGGACTGTCGGCTCCTGTGAGCTGTTCCGTGCTGGTAAATCCAGGGGAGCACAGACATGGCCTCTGCCCCCAGCACCTTGTGCACACCTGGCAGGTGGCCCGGGGCAGCCTCCAGAGGAAGCCGGCCTTTGTTTTTGCTTTGTTTTGTAAGATTTTATTTATTTATTCATGACAGAGAGAGAGAGAGGCAGAGACCCAGGCAGAGGGAGAAGCAGGCTCCATGCACCGGGAGCCCGACGTGGGACTCGATCCCGGGTCTCCAGGATCCCACCCGGGACGAAGGCGGCGCTAAACCGCTGAGCCACCAGGGCTGCCCATTGGCCTTTGTTTTTAAACAGACTGAGGTTGTCTCCCGATTTGCCCCGGAAAGGACAACTCCGCGACCTTTCCGATCACTTCCTGCTGGCAGGTCGCTGGCAGTGTCTGACCTGGAAGCAGCTTGGAGGCATCGCCGGGGCATCGCCGGGGCCTCCCCGGGCCACTCGGGAGGAAGCTGCCCAGGACATCCCCTCCAGGGACAGGCCCTGAGAGCCACGCCAGCGAACAGTGAGTTAGTGAGCCCTGGACCATCGGGCACACCCAGCAGCCAGGCAGCCAGGCCGGTGGGCACTGCCCTGCGCACACTCGCAGCAGGTGAGACACGTGCCCGGGCTGCAGACCCGCAGAGATGAGCCACGGGCCCGGCTCCGCGCCTGTCCGCGGGGGGACGTGTGCCCGCCTGCCTGGTGGTGGGGCTCCCCGCCCAGGCCACACTCGGCGCCTCCCTGTGCCCAGTGACCGTGCGACCCCAGCCCTCAACCCGATGGCCAGCCAGGAACCCGGGTGTCTCCGGGACCTTCGGTTGCGCGGCTGCGGACTGTGCACCAGCGTGGGCTGATCTGTGCGCCTCGGCGGAGCCTGAGATCCGACCTCACTTCACGGGGCCAAGCCAGATGCAGGGACTAAAATGGGCCTGTGGGCGCGGGAGGAGCATCACTGGGCCCCGTGCCCTGGTGTGAGTCACATTTCAGCCCTCACTGCACCTCCCTGGGCCTGTCTCTGCCCCTGCCCAGAAAATGCTCCACACGTTGGATTTCTTCTGGAAAAGCCACAGAAACGAGGTGGGAGCTGCAGACAGCCCGATGGCAGCAGGGCTGCTCACTAGGGGCCCCGAGGAGCAGCAGCCCGTGCCCCCCCCCCCGGGCAGACCCCGAGAAGCAACAGCCTGTGCGCCCCCCGGGTAGGGGCCCCCCCGAGGAGCAGCGGCCTGTGCGCCCCCCGGGTGGGGGCCCCGAGGAGCAGCGGCATGTGCGCCCCCCCGGTGCAGCCCTGAGCCAGGCCCCGCACCCCACCACCGCTGGCGGCCTGCACAGAGCCAGCGAGAGGCAGAGGGGACACGTCGCCGAGAGCCCTGCCCACCCTCCATCTGTGCCCGTGTCAGGGCTTACGGAGCATATGCTGCCTGTTGCTCACTGACCATCTGCTCCCGAGCTGATGAAGTGTCCCCGTTACCGTGGCAACAGAGTCCTTGATTGGCGGTGGCACCACAAACATTCCCTGCTCAGGTTTCTCTTTTATCTGTGCTCCGGAATGGTGGTGGGGGAGGGGGCCTGGGGGAGGGGAGGGGAGGGGGGCCTGGGAAGGGGCGGGGCGGGGCTGGAGAGGAGGGGGGTGGGCAGGGTGGGGACGGGACTGAGGGGCAGGTTCCCCTCTTCCCTTCTCCCGCTCTCCTGCCGCTTCCCGCCCCTGCTCGCCCCTTCCTGACCCTTCTTGTCCCCCACCCCCCGCCCGCCCCACCTGGCCTCCTCCCGTCCTGTGAGCAGGTGCCCCGGGGAGCTGAGTTGACCAGGCAGGGCCTGTCGGGCTTTCCCTGCACCTGGAGGCTCCCGGGGCAGGCGCCCTCCTGAGTCCTCCACTTCCTGCCTGGGTGACCGTCCGCAAAGCAGGCAGGTGTCCCCTCCGCTGAGGCATCGGGCACCTGCCAAGGGGTGAGAGGTCTGGGGCAAGACAAAACCTTTGTCACGTCCTGGGAACTGGACCCGGCGCAGGGGCAGCCCACTTGTCCCCTGGGGCTGTGACTCAGGGCCTTCCCTCTGGGCCAGGGCGGCGCTTGTGTCTGGGGGCACCGCTGCACCCCGAGGCCCTGCAGGCTCTGGAGCCCTCTGCCCTCTGGGCCTCAGGCGCGGATTCCCGGGGTCCCTGGGGATCTCGTGGCTGAGGGGGAGCTGCCTCTTGGGTCACAGTGAGCGGCTCACCACGCCCTCCCACGGCCCTTCCTGCCCCGAAGCAAGAAGGCCCCGCGCCACCACTGCGCCCCCCGCCCCCGGACTTCACGGAGTCCCCTTTAAGGGTCTTAAGGGCTCATTTGTGGCTAATTTTAGAAAGTCCCTTCAGTCACGGAGGAGGCCAGTGTCACTGCTGTGGTCTCAGTGTCCTCCCCCCCGT